GATACAGAGCTCCATTGTTTGCTACTGGCGACCCAGGTCAGTGTAGTGTAGAGATGCGCGGATGAGCTCAAACTTCACCCGAGTCCGCTGCTTCAAATTATCCGCCCGCCACCCATCCGCACCTATATTTGATCGTCACATTACAATGATTCTAATTCTTAGTTTTGCATGATGATATGATGAATGGATGGTTCATTTTTAACAGCAGATTCAGTGACGTTAGAGACTAGAGCTGATCTGGGCATCACAGCACGCGTCTGCTGCGCATTAAAGCCTGTGTTACGGCCACCGGAGCTGATCGCGGCCACTCAGTCAATACTGGTGTTTATTGTAACATTCCGCACCGCGGCCCAGAACTCATGCTTATCACATCGGTCACATCACATCGCATGGCGCGACAAAATACAATAGAATTTCTATTGCATTTTGTCGCACCGCTAGCATCCGGTGTAGAATAGAACCCATTACAATCAGTGATGCTGTCTACACTGGGCCAGAGCTGTTGAGAAACAGAGTTGCGACACACTTTGATCTCGCCACCACGTGGTTCATGGAGCTCTCAATAGTTCCAAACAACTCCGCGCTGTCAATATGTTTGAATGGGTTTAAGTAGGATAGACAGCAGTTTCACTATATTTGCAGCAATTTCTAGTGATTATTAACACATCATGTGCATGGATTTTGTATTGATAACTACGCTGACCACATTTTACAATCGCATTTTATTCTGGGGAGTGATGAAGAGACAGCATTAGTTTTTTTCTAATATGCTTATTATTTATATTACAATTAGAGTAGTATTTAGGGTTAAAATAGAGATTCCAGTGCAAAGAGGCAAATTAGAGGCGTTTAGTGGCCAGAAAAATAATATTCCTATGTAATGCCATGGTTTAACCACTAGATGCCTGTATGGCTGTTAAATAAATATAACCTACATATATTTAGCTGTACTCTAGTTGCTTTAAACGGTTTTACCGGTCATAATAGCTTATTTATTTATTTTATGTTTTGCATTGAATATTAAGTCATTATCAAACACTCAATGTTTAGAAGTTTTGATTTTTTTTTTTTAAATGTTGAATTTAAAAAGATTAATTACTCACATCCCAGTATTATTTTGACATTTATGTAAGAAGACAATATAAGTGAATGTTAAAAAAGGCCAGCAAACACGGAATTTAACCCAATAAAATTTTTTTTAAAACACAAGGCAACCAACTGCATTCAGGGAAAGGTGTAGAATAGAACCCATTTTAATCAGTGATGTTGTCTACACTGGATGCAGTTAACTGATGCCTCGTTCTATTTATGACGTGCTGACACAAAGTTCAAATGATTTTCAACGTTCGCTTTGTCGCATCCTGTTGCGGCGCAGACACGGCATGTGTCTGCATAGTTTGTCAGTACAGTCAGTAATGTAGCAGATTGAAAAGTTAGGGGGCCATATTTTAACGATCTAAGCGCATGGTCTAAAGCGCATGGCGCAGGTGCACTTGGGGCACGTCCAAAACCACTTTTGCTAGTTTAACTACGGGAAAACGGTATGCGTGCCTGGCGCATGGTCTAAAAGGATTGTCCCTATTCTCTTAACGAGTAATGGGTGTGTTTTGGGCATAACGTGCAATAAACCAATCAGAGTCTCATCTCCCATCCCCTTTAAAAGCCAGTTGTGCGAAAAATTGAAATCGCATCATATGACCCCTTTAAAACAGCGTGATGCAGGATGTGAAAATGACAACTGCGTCGTGCTCCAGAGATGAAACGGAGCTGCTTGTGCGCAAGCAAATAGGTAGCCTAATTCTGATACATGCGATGACTATTTATTATGACATGTAGGCATTTTTATATTTATGTAGCCTACACAATAATATTCTTTTACATTGTAATCCTTTCATTTTTAATATTTGGCATGTTTGTGTGCTGCTGTGCATCCCTGTGTGTGTAATAAGCAGAGTGTACGCGCGCTGTGGACCCGCCTATACTAATGTGCTCTTTAAATAACAAAAAAACTACTGCGCCATTGACTTTAGACCAGGTTTTTGTTGGTCAGTGGCGCAGTCTATTTCAGTTGCCTCAAAATAGCAACGTGCCAGCAATGCGCCTGAACACACCTCGTTTTCAGACCAGCACGCGTCCATGAGCGCACAAATGACGCATAAACAACGTGGCGCAGGACGTGAAAATGATTACTACATCGGGCTGAAACTAGTAAAAAAACACTTGCGTCGCGCCTGGCGCCGCATTGCGCCAGCTGTATAATAGAGCCCAGTATCTTTCTGCAGTCCAATAGACGGCAGTGCGTTGGTGGCTTGAGTCTGTTGAATGGTGATTTAACGCTATGTTGTCACCTAGTTGGAGAGACTCAGTGCTAAGTAAATAAACAACAATGTCCCCGTCTTTTACTCTCACAATGAGCTTATCATATTCGTTTGCTACATTAGTAGGGCCCTATGATTTCCGAATACCCTGCCTCCACTACATAGGCCTATGTTTGTCACATAATTATAAGTGTTTGATCACCACTTTTGAGTTATCATTGCAAAAAATGTGTTTATGTTTATATATTCTGTTTATGTAGGCTATATACTGTATTCTATATACAGTACCAGTCAAAAGTTTGGACACACGAATGGGAATTTAATCTGCATATAAAACATTAGAAATTAGATATTTGTTTAATTTTTATTGTGTTTGATCGTTAAAACTAAAAATATTTGTTGTTTGTCTCAATAAATTGTGTTAATTATAAATGCAGTGGTTAAAAAAAAAATTAATTCTATTGCTTTTTGTTTTAAAAAAGGTTATAAAAATGTCAATAATTATCGATACCGAACGATACGAAACATTATATCGTCGATAAATTATTTATCTATATCGCCCAGCCCTATATATCGATACCTGTCTTTTATTACGCCCTAATATCGGTATCGGCCCCAAAAAAAAAACCCATATCGGTCGGGCTCTAGTTTTTTTTTTTTTTTCAGTGGATTAACATGCATGGATTAGGCTAATTGTTCACCTTAAGACTTGCAATGTGCGCTAAAGAAATAAATATTGTACATTTTGATTTCATGCAGACTTTAAGGTTACTTCCATACTATTTTAAATGTATATGTTACATGTTGTAAAAATGAATGTCCGACTTGGAAGTAGAATGTTCTCATATGCACTTGAATGTAACAGTATTTGGATTGAATTTTGTATATTTGTATTCAGGGTTTGAAATTAACACCCGCCAACCCGCCAAATGCGGGTAAAAATCAACTGTGGCGGGTAACGCTGTCAAATCACTGGCCAGTTTGGCGGGTTACTTTTCGTAAATTATGTTCACTCATTCATTTCTTTGGGAAGTTCATGCAAGCCAAATCTGCGCAAGTTTAGCGAAAATAAGTTACTAAGTTCACGCATACGCGACGTGATGGAGTCTGGTTAGACTAACTTTGTGCTGTGCGCATTTAGAGTGCATTCTTTCATTGCATGATTCAGTCTGTTAATATGCATTACGAATGATCACATAATTCAAGAGAGGGGGGTTGGAAAATGTATATATTTATATCAATTCATATAGTTAATATCACACGAAGAGTGCCGTTTTAAAAAAAAAAAAATCAGCATGGTTACAAATGTGATATTGATTTTATACAACAGTTCAATAAACAATAAGTTAATATCAAGAGACTTACGTTTTAGACACCATATTGGCTGTTTTTGCGTTATTTCGCCAACAGAAAACATTCCAAACACAGCGCTGTTTTGCGTCTCTGAGCAAAATCAACTGTTTAAATTATTCGGTTCATTCGCAATGACTCACTTAACAGTGACTTGCTGCCACTTACTGGCGGATTTAATTTCACATATCTTTTAATTTTTTTAATAATTTAAATATCACTATTCAACATTTCATGTTTAAAATATCAAAACATTATTTATGCATTTGTAACTGCAGGTTAAAGCATCCCATGTCCCTCTAAGCTGCATTAAATACATCTAAATGCCCCTTCATATGCAAATTCTGCAAAGATTAATTTTGTTGATACTGATTGCATTTGTTTAGTAACAGCTTAAATGTATTATTATTATAACTGACTGATTGCATTTGACTCTAAATAAATTAATGGTTTTATATAAAAATGGCCATAAAAGGTAAAAATCTATTTAAACTTATTGAAAAAGATTAATTTCTATCACTGCTGTGAACTGACCACCACACAGAATATGAAGAATATCAAAAACTTTAGGAGTCAGCTGTCCACGGTATCCTTAAGATATCAGCACAATAACACACTCAGCAAAATATTGTCTAATTATCTTTTTAATATTGACTGATTAAATGTAAGAATTTGACTCAAAAGATGATACACACTTTTAGTAACAATTTATTTATAAAGGTAAAAATGCCCATAAAAGGTAAAAATAAATTAAACTTATTGGAAAAGATTAATTTCTATCACTGCTGTGAACTGACCACACAGAATATGAAGAATATCAAAAACTTTAGGAGTCAGCTGTCCACGGTATCCTTAAGATATCAGCACAATAACACACTCAGCATAATATTGTCTAATTATCTTTATCAATAAAATCACAGAAAATATTGAGATATTATTTTTTGTCAATATCGCACACCACTAGTACTGACACAAAATGATTTGCAACAGTCGCTTTGTCACGCCCAGTGTAGACAGCCTCAAACTGTTGGTTTATTTCGGGTTTTTTTTTTGGCTGGTAGAAGTTATGAATGGCCGGTAACTTAAAAATTTAGTAGCCAAATTGGCTGGTGAGTAAAAAAGTTCATTTCAATCCCTGTTTGTATTAGTATTTGTCTGGTCATGTGATCTCAACAGGTCTGTCCACATGAGGCAACCCTCCATGTCAAATATAACTGGTTTAATCAGGCCACTCATATAACATTCTTCAAAAACACCAGTCATTTCAGTATAAATTGACATTTTAATAAGGATCAAATTACGGAGTTCAGCTTTGAGAATAAAAAAACCAACCTGTTTGTTCCTCAGTATCTTCTTGTTTCACCCCGACTGCTTCTTCAATCTTAATGTCTTCACTCTCCTCTTTAATAAATGCCATTGTGGAACTCGGTGTGTTTGGACACTCTGTCAAGTTTAAGATTAAAATAATTAACAGAAAGACAACTAAATCCAAACTAATTCTGTGTCTCAATCAGCTCCCTATTTCATTAGTCATTGCAATGGTATGAAATCTGTCAAAGTGATATTTGGTCTTGGCCAAAAAAAAAAAAAAAACAACTACACAAAAACACTCAAACCTAGCATTTATGAAAGAACACAAATTATATAGAAGGTTCAATAAATACCAAACATCATAAATGGCTCAGGAGGCCTACTGAGCCATTTATAATATATGTTTGGTATTTATTGATTCATAGATTATAATGAATGGATTACACATTTATCAAAAGATTTGCGGTTGGATTGTAAAAGCTGGCATGTTTGTTGTTCTCGTTTCATTGACATTGTTTTGCGCAGCAGGTCTGCGATGATTCGAGCGATTCTAATTAATGAATCATTTCACTAAACGACTGATTCACTGAATTTGGAGTTTAAGCTCAGTTTCTCTCATCACTACTTGACAGTGACCGAAATCGTGGGTGTTTACGACAAACTGGTTCACGATACAGTGAGCGAAAATGAGACGCACCTTTTCTGTTACTCATGAGTGGCGCACACAAATTAACGTCCATTAACGTTAAATAATGCATTACAATGTTACATTCTATAATAATACATCACTTGAAAAAACAAGTTTTGCATCGATTTAAATACTTTAAATGCTTATAAACAAACCTCTCTTCAGCCGAATCATAACAGATGCAGGAACGCGTCGCAGGGTTGTGACGTCACACCGTGAGATCGAAATAAGAGTCCTTCCCATCTCTGGCTGCGTCCGAAACCGCCTACTTCTCTACTATATAGTGGGTGAAAAGCAGTAGGCGAGCGAATAGTATGTCCGAAACCTCAGTATTCATAAAAGAGTAGGCGAGAATTACTTGGGTGACGTACTAATTCTTGCGAGATTCGGACACGTGTCTACTTAAAGTGCGTCCGAAACCATCTACTTCTCTACTATATAGTAGGCGA